TACCCCACCCGAACCCCGCACCTCGACGGCCCAGCTTTTCTGCAAAAAGGCACAAGGGCCCTTCAGCCCCAAAACTATGTTGTACGACAGACATTTACATAGACTATGAGTAATTCTCAATTAGTGGAATCAACCCTAATCTCCAAAAAAGAAAAGGCCATCCTAGCTCTGTGAAATGCTTCAAGCTGGCACACTGTCCTACTAACAAGGATTCTTACCGGGTGCAATTTTGTTCCTCCCCTCAACAAGGGCCTCTTGGCATATAATGGAGGACTTCCCGTTGGGATTTAGAGAGCTTTTCAGACTTCTCTAAGTTCTAAATCAACAGCACAATTGAGATTCCAACCAGCTCACATGCAAGCGATTGCTAGCGGGCTTCAGAAAAAACACTTTTTTTTGATGAAAACATTAGATCTAATGGGTGTAAATTGGCTTCTGGGAGGGTTGTAGATTGCAACAGGAAGTCATCCAATCAATAGTAAAAATTTACTCAATATTTTTGCTCCTCTTGCTTGCCACAGCAAAGCATACCAAGCTTCACAATTAGAGATGGCCCCGGCGCATCTGGATATCCGGCTGCTTTTTCTGGGGAAAACACCATCCGCTGGCGGATATCCCCCGGCCTTAGTGGGTATCCAAGCGGGTATCCTCAGATACCCGCCCTTTAAACGGCCGGCAAGGCACCAACTGGATTCCTGGAAGGACCTTGCCAGCTGGAAGGAAGCCCTTTCAGCTGGCCATTGGCCTCGGGTATCCGTGGGGATACCCGGATATCCGCCAGATTTGGGCGGGAAAACGGCCATCCGCAGCCAAATCTGCACCCCCTGGCGTGTATCTGCCAGGGGATAGCGGGTATCCGCAACGGATACCCTTTGACCATCTCTATTGAATCACAATGGAGGACTGGATGACTTCCCGTCGCAATCTGTTGACTTTTGCTCTTCTTTGGTCTACTCTTCCCCAAAATCACTCCCTCCTTTCCATTTATTTCCCTCTTTTTTCCTTTCATGAATCTTCTTGAACTGGACTGAATTATAGCATATCATAGCTGGTTTTCTGTTGAAACTTATGCATTTGTGTAGTCTAATTAGAACTCCCTATAGCAATTTAATCAACAACTCTTGTCTTCATGATTGACTTCTTTCTTTTTCTATGTTCATTATATGATTCCTAAAAACTAATTATTTGGAATTAACGCCTCTGAATATTTGTGATAGAATTCTTGTTTTTTCTTGATTAACTCTTCTTGCCTGACTAAAAGAGACTGAGAAGTCCTGTCGAGATTGTTTCTTCCAAGAACTCAATTTATTCTTTCTCTTAGTTTTTATTCAATATCCTATTTTTATTCATTCTCAACCAACCACATTTTGACACACTTGTATTTAGTCTATTTAAACCTAGCTAGATACTTGTGAATAAAAAATCATTGGTTCTTTCACTCTTTTTCCGTGAGCCTTTCCCAAAATAAGATACACTCTTTTTTTGGCCCTCAACCTCTTATGCGCCTGAGTCTTAAAATTTCAACACAATCTACAAACCTCCCAGAAGTCGATTTACACCCCTTAAATCTATTTTTTTTCATAAAGAAAAATATTTTTTCTGAAGCCTTCCAGAAACAGCTCTCATGTGAGCTGGTTGAAATCTTAATCCTGCTGTTAATTTAGGACTGAGGGAGGTCTAAAAATCATTCTAAATTGCGACGGGAAGTCCTCCACTTCCCGTTGTCTAATTTTGTAAATTTACAAGGAAGGGCTAAACCTTATTGCTGGTGAAAATTGTTTGACCTCAAGATTTCACCAGCAAACAAAGTTTAGCCGGTCTGTCTAAGTTAAGCCATCTGGTTGACGGGAAGTCCTCCATCTTTTGCCTTTTTTGTTGATCCACAGATTTATATTTGGAGTTTCTCTGGGCACATTTAGACAAGCCTTGATCTGTGCTCCTAACTGGAGGACTTCCCGTCAACATCTGCGGGTCTCCCAGAGTCGGTTTAGAGCCTCGAAATTCAAATCTCCCTTCGAGTAATTAAAAGTTTTCCGCTCTAGATCGACTTCTGCGAGGGTCCCAGATCCGACGGGAAGTCCTCCACTGGATGACTTCCCGTCGGATCTGGGACCCTCGCAGTTTTTGATTTAGACCCAAAAAGTCTAGATTTTTGCAGGGAAATCTAGCTTTTTTGGCTCTAAATCGAAACTGGGAGACCCGCAGATGTTGACGGGAAGTCATCCACTATCAAGTCAGGTGTTTAATTATAGAACCTGCTGCTGGAGCCTGGCAGTTATGATACCAAACAGATCATCACCAAACCAGGAAAGCCACACTTGCTAGCTCACAGACTGGGTGGCTCTTCATGTTGATGTATGCAGCTCCATTCCAGCTCATTTCTCTTCCCTTGGGACCCCAGAGAGCCCCAAACAAGCCGGCCCATGTTCCACGTAGCAATGTTATGTTTTTTTGCAAAGGTCACTCAGGAAAAGCTACCCTTGAACCACTTGAAAGAATGAAATTTTTATGGACCACACCTCTTCGGTGAGACGCAACAGGTGCTGGCGAGCAGACTTCCTTCGTGTCTACGAAGTACCATTTCTGCCACCCCGCCGAAAAGGTTACCTTCTTCATGCTCGCTCGTCGCCTCTGCGGAGGCCATCCCTCCATCTCAGCAAACAAGCTAAAAGCGTGTCCCAACTGGTATGTCCACATGTTACTCAGTTGGACTTGGACCGATGTTTTTAGGGGACTGCTGCATACAAGGGGTTTTAGCGACTTGAGATCGGAGTCAAAATGATCCCGCTATAAAGCTGTCCTGTCCAATGGAAGTCAATTGAAGCATCATAGCTGCTTGGCCTGATGTTTGACAACTCAGGTGTGAGAGCTAATCGTCATCATGACGAGAATGTTTGTTTGAAGGGCTCTGGTCCTTACCATCTGGCCTATAGTTTTGTTCCATGATCATTTTGTACATCGTCAAGACTGGCCAACTTGTTCCTCTCCAAACATGCATAGACGAGTTTCCTTCAGGTCATTTTGAGACCAAGGTTTGATCGAGCTCTGGGTTGCAGCAATGTAAAAATATGGCGGGAAGGCTCAAAATGAGGGCAAGTGTCATCATCAGCTTTGGCTTTGTTTGAGATCATCAGAGGTTTGGTTTCCAAAGATGTAAACTTAAGACTCTCTGGTTCAAACATTCCTCTGCAAATATATGATGATACAAGTCCATCATGAATCAGACTCGATGAGGGTTGGATTCGTGGCAGGATTTTGAAGCAAGTCACAGATCGTCAAGAGCTCCCCTTGGTTGACTCGGTGACGTGGCTGATGGACTGGGTGCTACGTGTAGTAGACCGGGGTAACACGGAGGATATCATCGGGGAATGTATCTCCCAACACCAAAAAATAAAAAGAACAATTTGCCCTCTGGATTAAAAAGCTCCCATCTCCACCCACAACCTCGAGTACCACCACATCGACACTCCCCACGAGGGTTTCGAGAATCCAGCATAAGGTCCAGCAGTGGTCGGAGACCGTCTCTTGGGTGCCTACATAACACATCTTCAGCCGTCCTCAGTCAGTCAATCAGAAAATACCGATCGGTGACCACAACAGGATATGGCTTTACCTCTCTATGTGCCCTTCGGGTACATCACATTCTTGGTCGGCTTGCTATGGTTATTTTCTCGTCATTATCGAAGTCGAGCACTGCGTCAGTCTTTCCTTTTTTTTGGCTATTCCCATCAATCGATAATTGACTAAATTTTTCTGTCACATCCTCTCTTGTTCCAGGTCGGAAACCTCCTCCGCCTTGGTTTCCTGACCCTCATACCGCAAGAGATGTCTACATCAGCTTGTTGAGTATGGACCCTCCTCCATCTCAATCGGTCTTAGTAGGTAAGCAATAATTAAATTTCTCAAGTTTCTCCTTCTTCAAACAAATAATCTGAGATTTTTCAATTGTATGCAAAATATTAGCTGCGTTACTGGCCCGAGCGATGACGGATGTGAAGCGAATCATGTCACTAAAGGAAGCGAAACAAGCGATGACGAATCTGCTCCAGAAGGGTCAAGTGGGCGATGAGCTGTGGGAGCGTCTGTTGATGGCCGAGAAGGAGCTGGATGTCGAGCTGTCTGAGGTCGTCGCTGAGGCCGAAGAATACTCTCAGGGCTGGGGCGGCGCGATCTTCTCGATCGCTTCGGAGGCTTTGCAGGCTACTATGTCTCAAGAAATCTATAAGGATATTCCTAAACAACGTACTCTCAAAAGTCAGTTCTGAAAACCTTCCCATGATTATATATATTAGTCCAAACTAATCGATTTTTTTGATTTTTTTTTTTTTTTTTTAGCTGCTGAAATCGCAGCTGCACGAGCATTTGCACCGAACCCAGGAGAGCTCCGAATCCTAGGCTCGAAGCCAGCAGTCCCCGCGGCCCAAGCGACACCGAAGCCAGCCTCGTCGACTGCCCCGCCCTCGCAAGCCAAACTGGCGATGCTCGAGAACATCCGGGCGGCCCAAGCCAAGCTCAAATCAGAGCAAGAGAAGAAGCCGACCACGCCTCCTCCTGCGTCCTCCTCCTCTTCCCCCCCGACGGGCTCCAAAGCTCACTCCCCCGGATCCTCCAGAGGCGATCAGTCCGATAGCGATAATGAGGGGTCCACTAGTCTGCTCAAGTCTGGTCCACCTTCCGCTTCAAAGAAAAAGAAACCTAAAAAGAAAAAGAAAAATTGAGCCTCATTTGCCCCGTGCGGATCTATCCACTCAGATAGAGCTTGTGGTTTCTTTTTCTTCCTTCCTTGTTTGATTCTCTCTTAAATACGGTAGTCCCACTGGATGACAAAGAAGAGAAGAGTAGTATGTTACTCTACTGCAACCAAACGCAATGCTTTTTTCTCTTCTTCCTTTTTTTGTTATTTGTTTTGATAGAATTGAAAAATTTCTTGAGAGATACAGATCTTTTCTATGAATATATACACACTTTAAAAATTTGGGTTGGCTGGTTGATTGAGAAAACACATCTTTGCTGGATTCCCAGGAAAAGAAACTTCTCTTTCATATGGAGTCAATCTGTAGTTTTTTTTTTTTGAAGTCTACTGCATGCATAAGATCTCTTTGCTCTTTCAATTCAACTCATTTTTTCATAAGAAACCCAACATTGCAGGTTGGCTGAACATTCTGCGCAGGGTCTGCTGCTGGAATTTTGACTCATCCCCAGAAAATCATTTTCTCATTTCTTTTATCATGTGAACTAAATTTAGAGTGGATATCATTCCAAGGTTGTTTTTGGACTGGTCTATGTTAAGAGAATTGGCCTGTTTTTATAGACTGAGGCCATTTTTAGCATAATGTAACAGCGTAAGGTGTGAAATCCCAGCAAAATTTGACAGAATTTGAGCAGATTTCACACATTACACCTGCACACAATGCTGAAAATCATGACCTTAGCACACTCTTGTGGACATAGATCCCCTGAATTAGTAGCTATTTTTTGAGTGACTGTTATACTTTGTTCTTTTTTATTCTATTCATCTTCATTATTCATTTTCTGCAAACCACAAGTTGGCTGCTTCTACTTAGCTTCTATTTGTAGTAGCCACTTACAAGCAATCAAACCCCATCATTTCTTCCTTCATGTTTTGCCACTTGTACCGTTCCAGTGAGATACTTTTCACTGTGTTCCTCTTTTTCAAAACAATCCAGACTTCTGTGGGCTGAATACTTTAATGGCTTTTCTTAGTCCTTGCAGGTCTTGACTTTCTGAGAGCTCAATTTGTTGCCTAAAGCATTGATTATGTGGGCCTCTTACTCAAGATTGGCTTACTGCAATATGCCACAATTTGTTCTAATTGCTTCTTTTTGATGTTCACTATTTGGATGATTGCTTCAGACACAGTGATTGGAACTGGAATTTTCTCCTCAAGCAGTCAAAGCCATCCAATAGAGGGTGAAAGTTGGTTTTGGTTTGAAAAAAAAGTGTAAGAGTCTCCATAGCAGTTGAACCACAGTGGGTTTTTTTGTTCTTTTTATGAGTTTCCTTGATAATATGTGCATCAAAACCCACTGGCTATGTGGTGGCTGGCACTAATGAATGACAGTGGAATTAAGGTGCAAACCACCTGCAAATTGCCAGTTTTGGTTGTTTTCTATGCAAATCAGGGGCCAAAAACAGTGCCTTGTGAATCTGAATATCTTGTATTTAGAAAAAAGGGCCAGCCAGAGCTGGGAGAGCAGCTACCTGGCTGCACTGAGCTGGCTGGCCCAGCTGACTAGACCTGCAAATTCAAAGGCATCTCCATAGCAGAATGGTTGCAGCTGTCTGAAAAATAGCCCCCTAGGTTGTTGTTTCAATCCCCACTGGCCCCATCTCCCATTGGGTAGGTGTAGGTTGTTAGGGCTGTTTTTTTAAAAAAAAAATAATTGGGAAAAATTGGCTTTTTGCTTATTTTTCACAGCTTACCTAGCTCACTCAGCTCACATATTCAGTTCAGCAAGATCAAATACCAGCTCACCTGGCTCATATATCAGCTCACAGAGCTTACCCAGCTCTGCCTGGCTGTGGGTTCTAAGCGGAAGATAATGACACCATTTTCTTCAGTTTGGGACCAAAGGATCCAGTTGCCAAATCTCTTATTGAGTTTTTTTCAGATTTGAAATTGAACAAAAGTGTCATATTGAAAAAAAATGGTTTCCTGCCCAATAGCCCTCATTTGAGAGCCATTTTTTTGTGTGACCTGCAAGTACTTTTCATTCAAGCGGCAGCTGATGCATCAGGCCTGGGACATTCAAGATTGAAGTGGTAATCATTTCCTTGCTTCAACCTGGGACATTCATCGGACAAAGTTTTTGTCCATCTATGTTGGCACAGTGCACATATATGGTATTGTTCAGGCACCTTTTTTTGGCAGCGACAACAGTCGTCATGATGAGCACAAATGGTCATAGTATTGCAGATAGCAGGGGTGCCTTTGCTGCGCTTGATTTCTGATTGGAGGGAGTAACCAGAGCAACCTTCTTTAGGACATGCAAACTTTTTGGTGTGAACCATCAAACCAGTGAGCAGGATTGCTATCATAATCTTCAGCACAGGAAGCATGTTGATTAATTGTACAAGGTTGGGCTTGAACACTTGATAGGGGGCTTTAACAATGCTTTCAACTAGGGTGGTGTTTTCCGATTATGCCAGAGATGATTGACAAATACTGAATAAAAAAATTGTGCATCTTTGATCCAATGTTGATCAGCTGCTAGCAGTTGCTTGAATTTCTCAAAGTGTGACAGATACCTCCCCAATAGGTACCAATGGCCATCTCTAGTACAAATAAATTATCCTACTTGGACAACAACACCACAATAGATTTTGATACCAAAATGTATTCCAAAATGGAACTACATGGCCTGATGCCAATGGTAGGCCCATTTAGAGCTTGTTTGAGTGGCCATGGAACAATCAAAAGCTATTGATATTGGAAAAAAACTTGAAAACTCTTTTTAAATCATGACGTGAAGGTAATTGCTGAAAGATTTTGGAACTGAAGGGCAGCTTTATTTCTTGATAAGCATATATTCTTTCTTAGATAAATACAATGAATAACATGATAAAGAGAAATCAGAGAAGTACCTGAAGGCAGAACTGATCTGATACCTTTTAAGATAAGACTTGATGATAATGAGAAAATGACTTTGGATAAATTATTTAGTATTCTGATAATAATAATTATAATGATTGAATTAATTTATTGGAAGATCATTATGATGTTAGTTTTTTATTCTAAAGTATATTATCTCTTCAGCATAGAATTAATTAAAAGACATTACTTAAAGTAATACAAGTAACAATAATATTCTTATTTAAGTAATGGCTGCTTGTTGCTCTTTGTTCAATGAGTCTAGTGTAAGATCATCGGCAATAGAGCAGTCAGTTACTCTTCTCTTTTTCTATCATAAGAAAAAGGCAATTAATACTCTTATTTTACTCACCGACTAACGGTGGAAAGATACGAGTTATGATTTTTTGTTTGATTGGCTTGTGCAAGTGGAAGCTAAAGATTGCAAATAATGATGTTTTGTTGGACAGAGAATTAGAACTCAATCCCTTTCTTGTTCTGGTTCTTTTTCCTTTGATTCAACTCATCGAGACTCACCTAGAGCTTGATGAACAATCATGATCATTATTACTATCTTTGCTAGTGACGTCAATGACATCACTACTTGATGCGCAAGCTGAAATTGTGTTTCTTTCTTGTTCATCTCCTGAACAGCCTGTTTCTGCTGATAATCACAAATCTCGTGATCAGTGCTAATGAATTTATTTCTTCAGGAAGCTTATCACTCATGTGATAAACTCACCTGATACTTTCCTCTTTTGAGGGATAAGACAATAAATTGAATTCCAACATTTACAAACTACATATATAACATCTGAAGGAACTGGGATAGAAGGAGGTCTATTTAAATGATAGAATAATCACAGCTTGGTGATGGCAGTAAGATATTTTCTCACACCTGAAAGTTGCTCATTTGATATTGCTGTTGATATACATGCAGGGATGGATTCAAGTTCTCCTGAATGGCACTCTACACAGGTTTGCCTGTAGTGGAGGTGAGTTTTTTTTTGATTGCTGATCATAATTAGTATGACAATACACTAATGGATTTTCTATCAACCACTTCAGGTTAGGAGTGGCTTACATAATTGAGTGGTTTGATTGAGGGATAGTTGTGTTGGTGGATTGATGTGTGAATCCAACTGTATAACGACTTGTTTGACTTGCCAAAAGTGGTGCATTTATGCTTGAAAAAATTGAGTGAATCTACATATATAACTAGAAGAATAGGCTCAGAGAGCCAAACAAAGTGCCATGCAATCCAACACTGGCGTCTACCCCCAATTCACAGCTGTTGAGGCCAAAGTTAGACCAAGACAGGTGCTCAATTCAAGCAACACCCCCAAAAGGGGCAGAAACAATATGTATCACCATGCCATACTCCCCAAAATTGAGGGCATATCCTAGCGATTATATAAGAGGAATGGTAATTGAGTAAGAGTTGTCATACATAACCTCACATATTTAGGCTTGTGACTGCAAACAAGACTCAACCAAGTACTTAGTCCCAAACTTGGGTAAATGGGTTTATAAGATGAATTGGAAATGAGTGAGAGTTGTGATAACCTAGCAACTTGATTCTAACTGGCAGCAAAGCCATCTGTAGTATCTAGTCCATTTCATATCACCCAATCATAGTGGAGCCAAACAAGGCCTTACTCTTTATTCTTCCTCAGTTCCTTTGATTATGCACCTATCCTCTCCTATTATCTTCCACATACATACATACATCTTCCTCTTCCTCTTGACAAACACACACACACAAACACATACATATTTACTTATTATTGATTGAAGACACAGATTTACTGGTGAATACGTAGACACACACATGCAAAGAAAAAATACAACGGTCTGTTTGTTTTATATGATCTCTCTTTGGTTAAGAGAGAGAAGAAAATGAGGGATAAAAAAAAGAGAAGAAAGGATGTAAACAAGAAATGAGAGAACAAAGACTGAAATGTTAAGCAAAATATTGTTGATCAATGAGAACAAAAAAAAAAGTCTATGTGTCTATTGTTGATTTATCTCATCTAGATTCTACTTGAAAGGAGTGCCGGATCTTGATTGACAAATCAAGAATCTCAGTCACACAAATTGAAGATGTTTTTTGTTTTTTTTTTGGTTTGTTGGGGGAGGGGTTGATTCACGTGCCGACTCGTTGTTGACAATTACCAAAGACTTGCAAGGCTTCGAGATATTCGGTGTATCTAATTTTGTAAGGCAAGATACCATAAGATCTTGCATGACTATTGTTTATTTAATATTGGGATTAGTGTTATGTGTTTTTTTTAATGAAGAAAAGGGAATGAGAGGGAGGGAAATTGGGAAGTTGTCACAGAAGAAAAAAAAAATGAAAAACTCAACTAGATTTCGGTTAGTGTTAATTGCCAAGGAGGAAAGCCTCTAAACCGTAACGATCGTCCGCCCAGAACCAAGAGCAAATCAGGCAACCCGATCGAGGTAGCTACAGTCACAACCCCCCCCCCCCGCAAGAAAAAAAAAAGTGAGATTGTTGATGTTGTGAATGAGAGATAAGAAAAAAAAAAGTGTTTTAAGGAAGAACTTACAGCAGATTTTTTTGCCGATAGATTGCACATTAAGATCGTCCAAATTGAGTTTAGTTTGTTTATTAAGGGTCACGATTTCGACGAGGGCCTTGGTGACTTTGACGAGATGTTCATGGCCCTGATGGCGATCGATGAGATTAATAGTAATCAAATTAGAATGATTAGGATTATTATTGAGGAGTGAGGAGCTAGCAGTCATTAAATTGTTGGCTTTAGCTTGAGTTTTAGATGAGGAGGAGGAGGAGGCTTTGGGGATCAGTCGATAAGCGATCTCGAATTTCGATAGGATTTGCACTTCGTCCGTCAGCTTGGGCTCGATCGACGCCCACGATATGTGCTCGTTTCCTTCGATAAACGCCGGCAAACTCGCTAGATATTCGATCAATTCAATCTTATGTGACTTCATCAATCCTTTTCAAAAAAAAAAAAACAGGATTTATTTGGAACAGAATCAAAAGTGAGTTTTCAGATTTTTTTGGATATCATCAAGGATTGATTAAGATGAAATAAGAGGGAGACAAACCGCGTTCGTCATAGAACGTGATTTCTTTGATCCCAGCCTCCATGGACCAAAGCAGGATTTTAGCGAAGTTTTGGCGCATAGCGAGGAGTTCAAGTTTCTGCTGAATTTGGAGTCTCTGAAGACGAGGGGTCCTTGAGAAGGCGATAGCATGATTGAAGGAGAAGAAGCGATGGAGCTGGTAGTTGATGGGGGTCCAGATGATGGCCAGATGGGCCGGGGTCTTCTTGATCGCTCGTAGGTCTTGACGCACATCCCGACGCCGGACCCGGAGGCCGATCAACACCTCGTCCATCTCGTCGATGATCTTCCGGATCACCGAGGTCGTCAGTCGGATCCCATGCGAGATTAGGTGTAGTAGATGTAATAGCCCAAATGTGCCAAATAGAGTCAGAGTGACAATCGTTTGGACCGTCTTCGACGAACTCGCCATTTTTTTTCTTTCGCTTGCTTTGGCTGGATTTTTTTTTGGTTAGTTTGTAATTGTTGAAATTATGTTTATGTATGACGATGATCAAAGATATTACTTACTTGATCAAAGGTGTATGCTTTCGTTGTTGAGGGTCACCAGGACGAGTCTTGAGTCGGAGAGGATGAAGTTCTAGTGCACTGATGTACTGAGAAAAAGATTCGATCGAACTCGACCTCGTAATCAACACATCAAATTACGTCACAATTTTTAAATCAACTTCTTCTTCTTCTTCTTGTATGTATGGATCCAAGGTGAGTTAAATTGGGATTGCTGTATTTTTGCAAGCTACATATAAGGAAGGAGAGAGACAAGTCTGAGTTGGTGACAGCACAGCAGAGCACTCGATTGGCGAACAGAGGATAGATAGAGCTTTAATGGAAAAAGAAGTCTCCACTCCTCAGACAGTCTGGATGACTGGTTGGGGTCCTGTCTCCCCTGAAGGATACTCTGACAGGGTGAAGATATTTAAAGGAGGACTGGAGTCCATTTCTCTCTCACCAGAAAATACTCCTTCATCCTCACTGATTTGTAAATCTCCTTTCATAAAAAAACAAAGAAAGCCCTACTGAAGATTGCACACATCTGCAAACACTTCTTCAGCCATCATGAGCCAGGCAATCTCACATCATGAAGGCATTTCCTTCTCCCAGCTAGTCTTCCATGCATGAACCTTTCATGTAAAATAGTCCCATCAATCCCACCTTTTCTCTATCTCTCCAAAAACAAAATCTAAAAAAAAAAAAAACAAGAAATCAAGATTAAAAAGCATACGTCACACAAAGCACTTCAAAGATATGGAATCAATCAAAACCCATTGCATGATGTACACATACTTCCCAAATGAGAAGCCAATAATAACAAAGCAATTCCAAAAGATTTTTACATACACATTGACTCTTGATCATGGCCTCCACAAGAACGCTAGAATATGGGTTGACAACCCAAATCAGATGACAGATCAGCAGGAGGACCGATTTTATCGATAGATACAATTGAAAGAGATTCTGGCCTGGATCGATTCCAAGAACAAATCTGAACATAGCTAGCTGCATCCACAATCGATTCTCATCTTCAGTCCTGCAAATTTGTTGTGTATTTGGATTCTGTTGTGATTGGTTGGATTATCACCTCCCTTCAAAAAGACACAGAAGGACTTTCAGCTGGCAGGGTTGGTGTCCTTCTCACTTATCTTCCACTCACTGGAGATCTAATTACTTGTTGCCCTCAACTCCCTCACCCTCAACCACGTCTTCCTCACTCAATATGTACATCCCGTCTTCTCCAAATATGTTTTTCATCTGCCTCTTTCCAATCTCATCATCACCTTTTTTTCATTTCGTAAATTGGGACTATCATGGTTGATGCATTTTTTTTTTCAACACTCCAAAAAAAAGGTAAGTTAAAGCATGAGAGGAAGAATATAACAGACTTGGTCATACACAGCCACACACAAGGAAAACAAAGCGAGGAAGGAAGGAAGAGAATTGTCCAATTTTGTTTGGAACCGCAGGTCTGTAGAAGAATGGATACAAGAAGGGGTAACACTGTGGAAAAGAAGTGGGATAAGGGGGGGGGTATATGGAATCGTATATATTCCGACTCGAATTACAACAAATGGATGAACGACCAGCAGAGAAAGAGAACAACGGAGATGGGCATACATGTGAAAGAGTAAGAGAGCATGATTGGGTGAGACCAAATGAGTGTATCCTTTGTCATGATTGATGATGGTTGAGGTCGAATGATGAGGAAGAAGAGTCGCGATGAGGACGGTCCAGCTGAGGATCGGTGAAGCTTTCCAACGACAGACGCTCATAAAGGGCGTCGCGGGAGCCCTCCCGCTCCTTATTGTGGCCCCGGTCGTCGAGGAGCTGGTCTGGAACTGCTAAGCCGGAGGAGCTCCTAGGATCGACAGCGCGTCGATAGAAATGGATGAGCAGGTTGAGGTATAGGTAGAGCAGACAGCCTAGCGAGGCTTGGCCCAGGATGTAGGTCGCATGGTCCACCCCGATCCGAGAGATTAGGAGCAATTGTTCCTCTGTGGCTGACATGAACATGACCCTGAACAAAAAAAAGCACACACCAAAGAAACAGTCAAGCGATGCATGCTCTTTGGGAAAGAACACGCTTGGAATAGGGGGAACGTACCCGCTGATGGTCAGGAGGAGCGGGGTGAGATGGTCGAGTGGATCGAGTCCGAGGTGGGGGGGTGGTAGGTGGTCAGACACGGCCGGAGCCCGCCGGAGGACGGTGATGATCTTGACGAGCCCGGCGGCCATCAGAGTGGCCCCGAAGGCGCCGTGGATCCGGGTCGAGATCTCCAGCGATTGCTGATGGGATTGGAACGCCCAGCCGGTGACGATGATCACCAGTCCCGACATCACCGAGCGTCGGCCCCCGCGCGACAGATATATCCCCAGGCCGCCCCCACTCGCCCACATCACACCGAGGAACGTGTGTTGTAGATCTTTGTGCGTCCACCGTGGCCCGGCTGAAAAAAAGAATCCATGCTCCCTAGAAATTGTTTTCTTTACGTTTCAGCTGGAAAAATCTCTCTTCTTTCTTTCTCTCATTTATATAAACACAACCTTTTGAAGAATTATCAACCAAAAATTAATGACTTCTTACGTACGTGAATGTATTCACGACTCCCCAAACCGTGATTACACAACAATCTAGATATTCGGGACTGAGCTGATGCGCCTTCAGCCACGGCTTACCGAACTCCATCAAGCTGAGCATCACGACTCCGTAGCCGACAAACGCTGATCCCATCTATATTTTAAAAACCGGGAGGGGTTTGCACACACAGGACAGATAATGAGTACCTAAAAAAAAGGAGGGAGAGATAGATGGTCGCTTACAATCATGTGTGCTAGACATTGTCCGAGATGGTCGCCGTAACAAAAGCTTAAGCTAGCCACCTACAAGAGTAAAAAAAAAGCAAGTGTGATGAGAAAGAGGGACGAAGCTGAAGATATAAGTGTCCGAGAACACGGAGAGAAGGCAGAGGAAAGAAGGGGGGTATGTGCATACAGCGCCGAGCAAGATCTGCAACCAAGAGAGCGGGATGAAAGATTTGCCGATGATCGAATGGGCGAGCTGGATGAGAGATCTGAATCTGGAGGTTTGCAGCCAATGGGATTTGAGGAAGAAGCCGAGACAGATCTGGAGGAGCAAGAGGCCGAAGAGAGGCGCGCCGAGGGCGGCATGGAGGGTGGCCGGATACGGGTGTCGGGCGGAGAGATGCGACAGACTGGTTGCCGGCAAGGAGAGCAGTAGGCCGGCTACCGCTTGCACGGGCCCGTGCAGCCGCGACCGTCCTAGACCCAGCATCACACCCATCGGAAGCAGGATCCCCCATGTCAGGAGCTGCAGTACTATGTGGACGATCACGAGCTTCGGCGGACTCTGTACTGGTCGAAAAATTAATTTGTAGCTCTTCTACATATACTTCTGGCTCCTCTCGCACATCAAAATCGGAGGAGCACTTACGATGGGCAAACTGTCTGGTGAAGGGGGCGGCCTTGAGGAATGGTCTCCTCCATGCCCAACAACAACAACAGAGACCTTACTGTTGGCGATGAGGAATCGGAATGCGAGGCCTACGAAGAGGAGGTTCTTGAATCGAATCCATCGGCTAGTCATCTTTTTTTTTTTTTTTTTTTTTTTTTTTTCTTCCCTGAATGTGTGTTTGTTGACTCTTTTTTTTTCGGAAGAGAGGAATGAAGTCAGTCTTCGATGGTTGATGTTATGACTTTGAAAGATGGATGGAAGAGTTGGCTTGTACAAATTGAAATACTTGCAGCGAAATGGATGCTAAGGTATTGTTGGGTTTTGATTAAGGTTGTGGGCACCTCAGAATGAGGGAATGGATGATCGATGGCTGCCTACTCGACTTGGTCGGTGAGGTCGGAGCAGTCACTTGCAGCAAAGGGGATTGTTGGGGAGAGTCCACGAGTCTTTCTAATCCGAACCCAATCAGTTGATGATTCGCATGAGATAGTGGACACCATCTGCATCTTGCACACAGCGCTTGATGACGCACGAGAGTGTCTCTCTTCCTCCTGCTGCCTTTTTCAGTTCTCATTATTCTTGGAGTTTTAAACAGCCAGATTTCATCCTCACTATGTCTACTCATCATTGAAAAAAAAAAAAAAATAACGGCTCGCCTGTTGATCGGCGGGTCTATGTTTGTTGTTGTTGTTGAGGATGGTCATGGGCAATAAACCGACCCGCTCATGAGAATTCTCATTTCATCATTAACAGAGCGACTTGCGATTACACTAAGAAATTCGGGATATCAGAGGTGGAGGATTTTCCTGCTATATTATATTCCGCTTGAATTGCTGAGTTGTTTTGCTGTTTTGTTATCAAGGCGTTTGAATAGATTCCTTATTGTATAAGGTCGGGATTAGTTATCCTGATCGGAGACGTAGGAAAAGAGAATCGGGTGGATTGAACACTTGTGAATGTTCTGTTTGATTGATCCATAGCTAGGGACCAGGGGTTGGCCTATTCCGATTTACGGCATATAAGAATCAAGTTCAGGGCTTATAACAGAGTCCTGGAGATGATGCAACCCATGGTGGATGTGGGGTGGCTTTTGAATGGAAGTGGCAAGGTGTTGTTGAGATTAAGGGATGCGGATGATGCTGGTTCCAAGGGAAGCTGTGACTTGAGAGGATGAGATAGTCGTCTGCCCACACAGCCCCTGGAAATATTCGTAATTCGGAGCTTAATCCGTCCAGGAAGCACTCAGCTTCAGAGAGCTCTCATCCTCCCGACTCTGCTCATCGACTGTTCACTCAACTTTCAACTAGTGCCCAAAGAATGGGATCACAATTGGTGTTGTTGGAGATGAATCACTGTGAATGCTCTAAATCCATCGGTTATTACAACCATGCCTTGGGCGAAGCTTACGACCGGAATCAGTCTGATACATAAGCTCTATACACCCACACCTTCTTTGACCAGGAAAATGCTGGAAAGTTCATCAGATGAGTTCTGCTGTCACCGATTAAAGGTCTTCCCGGACCACCATTCTCAGTGCCGGATTGATCGGCCCATGTGGATTGTGGAGATTCTTTTGGGGATTGTAAAAGGGGGGATGCTTGGATGGTCTGTATGGAGGCCTCCTTGGGGAGAGAGCTCCATTGAAGAGGAGTTTGCCTCACTCGACGTCATCCTGGTTGACGTGGAATCCGGGGCCCCGGTGAGGCTGCAGTGCAAGTGATGATGACATAATCACAAGGGAGACAACCTCGAGGCTGCTACGTTTACCCTTGTTGACCATCTCTTCCAAACAACCACTTCCTCAACTTCAACTATCAGAGAAACAACATAGCATATACAACATAAGACTCACGAAAACAAACAAAAACAAAAACAAAAGCACAGAGTATCGACCATGCAGGACATAGGAAACAACAACAACAACAACCAATCAACTAACGAGAAATCAAGCCCAGCAGAACAGAAAACCGACTCACAAGTCATCCAAATCAATCATGGCGAACAACTCTCACCATCCAACTCGATCCAAATCTCACTCATCAAACCTCTAGGGATGGAACCGAGCATCGGACCAGCTGATTCGCAACAGCCCGATCAACTCATCCAGATACACTTCCGCAAGACCAAAGTTCAGGATATCAAGACTCATATCTCTGCAACCTGGAGGGGCAAACCAAAGACCGATGGGATCAGACTGATTGCTCGTGGGAGGATCTTGAACGACCCTGAATCAGTCGGAGAGGCACTGGCTAAACCGGTATCCATCTCATTCACTGGATCTTCTTCTTCTTCTCCAACCTCATCCCTAATCAAATCTTTAAACTAACTGCTCACTCCTTTTTGTGCCATCCAGCCTGAGGATTCCTTATCCACTCATCCAATCCATGTCGTCATTCGTCCCAATGCTTGGACTGAGAAACTGGAGCCCCCAAGACCCCTTTCGGCCCCTCCGGCTGCTACCAAACATCTCCCAGTTCCAATCAGTCCAATACCATCCAACCTCAGATCTGCCTCTCAGTCCTTTGCCAATCTATCGAGCCCTACCAACGTTCAGGGTGATACTAATGAGGCCCCTAGCCTCCTCCTACCCTCTCGTTCAAACTTCTCAACGGCCAACAATGGATCTGGACTGTCCAATAGTAATAACCCCTCATCACCTGGTGTATTATTCAACACTTACTTTTCCGGTCTCACGGCCTACGGTCGATTCAGCTTCATCCAGAATATCTTCCAAGCTCAGTTTAAGATCACCGAACGCTTGGATTTCCTTCGTCATCAACTCCATACTCAACACCTCAAACTACTCGGGATCAGTCATCCGTTAAAAAACTCAAATGCGAACTCCGATCCTAATTTATCAGATAGAAATGAGAGGGAGTGGAAGAGAGTCGAAGGCAAATTGATCAGTCTCTTGACCGAATTAAAGTTCCCACCCCCATACTCGGGCCATGCCGATTCGGCCAATTCTGAAAAACTGCTGACTGAATTCGATCCATTGTTACCCGACGAGTGTAGCGAATTTAAACGAGTAGAGATAGCGTAAGCTCTTTCGCTTTCTCTGATCAATCAGCTCCTGTGCCTAGCTAACTGAAACCATTCTCCTATCTATTTCTCAACAGGGGCTTACCATATCTGCTCTACATTCCAGAAAGTGTGAGCCAGCTATCCACAAAAGATGGTTCGACCGGGACGAGCTCGGCCCTCAAGGAGTATAAAACACTCCAGAGAGACCTCAACCGCACCTTGCGTTTGGAGGCTCAGGTCCAGTATTTGATCTTACAGGCCCAGAAAACCCAAGCCAACTTGAACCAGATGGACGAGATCATTGCTGCCGGTCTCCGCCCTCAAGATGCCCTCGGCAATGACCGAGAGGTTCAGCAAGCCCAGCGAATCTTCGACGGCCTCTTCCCACCCAACGCTTTCCCATTCCCCCGTCCTCCTGGCGGGCCGGCCTTAGGACTCGGTCTCGGTTTAGGGCCTGCTGCTGATGGGCACCATCCACCAAACAATTTCATGCTTCCCAATGGACCCTTGTGGCAACACCCCATGGCCCGAGTCCGCCGGTATGAGTTTACGATCAACCTCGATAGCATTCGACGCTACATGGCACCGCTCCTCTGGCTCTCATTGAAGCTCTCTGTGTTACTCTACATCTTCGGTCGCCAAGCCAGTTATGGCAAACTGGTCATCCTCATCATGATTGCGTTAGGCTGGGTGATCTGGGAAGCCTATACTATCCACCAGAGACATGATGCACAAGCCAGACGACGAGACCGCTTACAAAGAGGTCAGCAAGCACCAGGAGCAGCAGCGGGTGCAGCTGCCCCCGCCGCCGACCCAATTCAAGCGGTTTTGGACCGAGGCAGACGACGTGCTGAACGCGAACGACAGCAGCTCTTAAGAGAACAACGTCAACGAGTCGACGGTATCCTCGGCATTGATAATCAAGAGGGAGGAGCCGCAGCGCCGAACAACCCCCAGCCTGCCCCGATAGCCGCGCCCGCCCAACCTGCTCAACCCGCTGGCCCTCCCGCGGTGGTTGAAGCCCCTGCGGCCAACCCGCCTGCTGCTGCTGCTCCCCGTAGAAATGTCGGACGAGGTGGATTAAGAGCCGCCGCCGCTGATATTCGGGCCCGAGGGGGAGCGTTCCCTCCAGGGACCGAAGTGCGACCATTCCGAAGCACCTCGGCCTTCTCGCCAAAGTATTGGTTCAACTCGATTGCGGTGGTCGGCCTAGCCTCAGAATACCGGGAACTAGGCCTACATTCGATCGGCGAACGAGCGATGGGGGCTTCGAATCTGGAATACCCTCGATGGTACCGATACCTTAGGAACTTGAAGACCGGGCTGGTATTGTTCATCGGTACCCTCTTGCCGGAGATCGAGAAGAAGAGACGCAAGGCACTCGAGAAGCGGGCTAGGATCCTGAACTTGGTGATTGCTGATGCCGCCCGTGACACTAATAACCAGAACCGAAACCCACCACAACCGCAACAACCCCGGGTCCCGGGACCGGCAACAGAACCTAACAACAACGGACCCGCTACCACTCCTCCCCTAGCATCGGCGACCAATATCGCTCAGACTAGCGTCCCCCAGACGCCGAACACTCGAGCGGCGACGAGTGGAGACGGGCAAGACAATCAGCAGACGCCGCGGGCGGTTGAGGCAACTGCCCTGGAGCGCGTGGGCTCGGCGGGCTCGGAGCAGACGCTTTCCCATCGTCGGCCGCATTTGGCTGTTTCCCAGTCCGGCGAACTCGCACTTGGGTCGAACGGTTCTCAACGGGGAGAATCGGCGGAAACGATCGAGCGAGCTTCCAGCGGGCGCTCAAACATCCTTGGCAAAGCGTCCCAGACTGAGCGCGTTGTTGGACCTACTTCACGACGGGCCGAGCCATCTGGCTCTTCTTCTTCCTCATCATCCGTCCCTCCTGCTCCCCCTCTCCCTAGTACTTCCTCCTCCTCCTCTTCCTCATCTACTGCCCCTCAACAACAACTTCAACAACAGACTCGGGATGAGAATCTTCCCCTCGATAACCCACCCCCTCCTTCCCCGCTCACTCCGTTGGATACCCCCCAAGTGGTCGGCGGACTCGATGATACCGATGACGAGGAAATCATCGGGGCTGAGAACGAGGAGGCAGGGATGCTCCTCTTCTGATTACCCCTCACCCTTTCTCTCTCTCTCTCTCTCTCTCGTTTCTTAGCTTACCCTCGTCGTTGTATATCTTTCCAGCTTTCCTCTTTTTCCTTCCCCGCCCCCCCTCTTTTTTTATGCTTTTTGAACAATCTTTCTCGTGCTTTTGTTTCTTTGGCTGGTTGTTTCATCATATATACTCTCACTTGTGTATGATAGATATTCAACTCAATCTAAAATTCAAACAAAAAAAAATCATCATCATCATCAAATAAATAAATAAACTCAAAATGCTCTTGTTTTTTAATCAGTCCTAAAATTACTATCTCTTTTCTCTTCCTCCTCTCCTCTCCTCCCCCAAGAAAAAAATGTGAAGAAAAGGAAGGGTTCCTGGCTACTGCTCAGCTTGTCTCACCATCATCATCACTTGGTCTGGTGTTATCTTATCCCAATGTTCTTTGATCTTTTAATTCACGCTTTTCTTTTGATTGATTGATTGATTGAATTGAAAATCAAAAAATCACAGTGAATGTGGGGGCTGGATTTGTAGATGGAGAAAGTCTGTTGGTGTGTGTACTGGTTGCGGATGCGGATAATCACATGGCTTGAATTAAGCACAACTTCTACTACAACTTCAATTACAGCTTTGTAAGATACATGTGGCATGTTTGATTTGAAGATTTTTTTTGAATATATGATAAATGTGTATTGTTGAAGGAAATGGTTTGGAGCAAAAATATGGAGATATTAAAAAAAAACAAGTGCATGGGATGTGGATGAGGTGTTGCAGTGTTTTTTTTTTTTTTTTTTTTTTTTTTTTTGGGGGGGGGGGGGGGGGGGGAGGGGGAGTGTGCATGGTTGAAAGAAAGATGAGATTGAGCACTTGGAGATGGAACGGCTAGAAGAGACAACAGACGGGCTGATAGCCCTGATCATTATGTAGGGTCAGTCATTGTCCAACACAATTAAAGATGCCTCTGCAAGTAACTATGATTGTTATATGTGGGTATACTTGAGCAACACTGTAATAACAGATACAACACGTGGTGTGTATCGTGGAGAATTATGCACATCTGCATGGCCAAAAACCAAGTTTGTTGACTCTCCTTGCAAATACAAGCATGTTGGTCAGATGGTTTTTTGATTGGGGTTCAGATACATGGACAATTGATAATGAGGTGGTGAAGATGTTCACTGTTTGAGATACATTGATCTGGTTCTCTCACTGCATCTGCATCAGCCAAAAATACATTGTTTTTCTTGGGTTTTGTTTGTTAATAAAAAAGAAGAAAAAAAATAACAAGTCAGGAATGTTACCATTTTGTCTTGATTTTTTTTTTTCACTCTCTACACTATCAGCAAACCTGAGATTTTTTGAAAAAAAACCCCTAGATATTGGTAAGACATGTGATACTAATTGGAAATTTATGGCATGTGTTGGTTATATACCAAATCCCCCAAAAAGGAGAGGCTTTTTGCGACTTAAAAAAGGTGTTGAGGGTTGCTCAACCTCAACCTCTGGATGATCTGATGATGAATGACATTGAATATAGGCAAAAAATTAATCATTACAATACTGGCTGAGAGAACAATTTGCCACTGAAGATATATTTTCAATGTATCAGGGAAGCAATCAAGTGCACCCCATTACTGGGATCATCCAGATAGCACAGCCTCAAGTAGCAATCCAGTGTTGGCATTACACACCCACAAAAATTGGAATAAGTTGGTTTGCCTGCATGGCACACCAGCATCATGATCAACACAACATCATCATATTACAGAATCCCACAGGGTATTCACTAGTAAAAATCCACCAATCCAGCCATCATCTGATGTTTGGAATTCAATTATTAAAATTTTGATTAATTTAATAGTATTTATTGATAAACTTACTTATTTGTTATAAAGATTCTATAAGCTAATGACATCAACTTATTTGAAATTTTTATTTTCTGGTTATCAAGCTTTCATTATGAATGGTTATTAGTTTGTTTTTTAATCATCTTTCTTTATCCTTCCAATTTTTTTTCTTTCTGTCTCATCAATATATATTTGTTATTGATTTGCTCATTTACTTATTCAAAATATTCAACATTTCTGTTACAAATTTAATCAACTTCAAGTCCCCTTTTCAAGATTTCATCTTTAGTTAAATATCAACTACCATTAAAACTCTTGATATAGACAATATTTCCTCTCGGAAATATTCATAGTCACTTATGAAATGAGAGCTGTAGGTTGGTCCTCACAATTATATACAGTCAACTCCCTATTACCCCATATACATATTAACCCATGATTCTCATGACATAACCCATGGAACAATTGTTTCACCAATTTGGCGGGCACGGAAATTTGGGATTAACCCATAAGTCTCTATAGCCCCGTCCTGTAACCCATACCACTCTTGGGGGGAAACTGGAACTTCATGGGTTAATAGGGAGATTTTTCCCAGCATTCTTTAGGTTCTTTTGTCAAAAAGTCATTAAAATTGGCTGTTGGCTCATCTCCTTTCTCACACTAGGCCTTTTTTATTGATTTCCTTTCTCACAGAGATATTTTGATTGGTCAAGTGTTGGAATTTTGGTTCTCTGTCTCTGCTCTCTTGTCTCCGCTCCCTCTCCCTTTCTCTGCTTTCTCTTCTCCTTTTCCCTTCTGTCTATTTTCTTCCTACATCTTCTCAATAGACTCCTCAATACCATCTTCTCAATACACTTCTCAATACTCACAACCACAACCCAAACACTTCAAGATGAAAACCATCAAACCTCCTCAAAACCTAACCCACAAGTCAACCATCAATCAAATGACTTAAATACCGGCTTTTCCTTGATCCAGTCATCAAACTCTAGCAGCTCCTACCATCAACATAACAATTGATCTTTCCCAACATCTCCAAATCAACCATCGCCAATCTGCTCGGCCTCAACTTCCATCAACACTCAATTCCCTCCAACATTCCTATCCTTCAATTCCCCTTCCGCATCCGACTCTTTTTCTCTTCTCTCATCTAACTTCTCTCTCTTTTCTCACCCGTCAAACAATCCTATTGATCTTCTCATCACATAAACATCTACTCCTTTCGATCATCGACTCTTCTGATTGCTCCGACCTTCTCCCTGAAACTGTTGTCTTGGCTACTACCAATTTGGTGAGAAACTCAAGGCCAACTTGAACTTATCTCATCCTTGTCTGACTTGTATTGACTCTTTTTTGACTAAATTCTTTTTATCTGTGAAAGCTCGTACTACTTGTCCTTATTTGATCTCATATACCTCAGTCTCTCTGTTCTGATACCTGTTAAAAACAACTATCGTGGTATGCTTCTTTTCTTATCTAAACTCATGTCATGTTCAATTCTCCTTTTCTTATATTTTTTTGATTTATCTAATGTTTTTTTTCTCTCTAGTTTTGGTTCTAGTTTCTATAATAAAACCTGTTTTTCATCATCAAGGATGTAAGAACCAAAGAAGAAGACAACAATGATGATGACAAAAGTAGATCTGATGACCCACCTCACCCTAAACCAAATGCAAAAAAGGTCTTCAAGGCCATCTCAAGCATCAATGACTACATCAAGAGCAACACAAGTGAGATTGCCAATCAACTCAACCAATGGATGGAAATTGTTGAGTTTTCAGCTTCTTTGGTGTACTCCTCCCTAAATCACCCTTCTTTTCTTCATCTTTTTCTCACTTTTACCTTTCTTGAATCTTCTTGAATTAGACTGAATTGTAGCAATTCACTGCTGGATTTTTGTTGAATCTTATGCACCCACGGAGTCTAATTAGAACTATCATTAGCAATTTTTACAACAACTCCTGTCTTTGTGATTTAACTCTTTCTTTTTCTTTTTCTATTTCATTATTTGATTCATTAAAATCTGATTGTTAAGAATTAACAACTTTTATACATTTGTGGTGGTGTGTATGTTTTCTCATGATTAATTTTACTAGCTTGTCTAAAAGAGACTGAGAAGACATGTCCGGTTATTTCTTCCATGAACTCATATATTTCTTCCTCTCAGTTTTTATTCAAAACCACTTTTCTTATTCATTTTCATTTCAACCACATTTTGACAACACTTGTATTTAGTCTATTTAAGCCTAGCTAAATACTGGTGAATAAAAATCATTGCTTCTTTCATTCATTTTTCCGTGAGCCTTTCCCAAAAAAGACACTCATCCTTTTTTGAGCCCTTTTTCTCAAACTCCTCAAAGATTCTCAAGCTCAGAATTTCAACAGAAATCTACTCAAAGCAAATTATTGATCACTCGATTGATACAGCACAATAAACAACAATACCCCATTTTTCCAACCAATCAATTCCAAAGGATTTCCATTTGTTTTCCTATCCCTATCAATCCCTATGTTTCTTTTTTCATCAGTGCTGGCAATTTACATGTCTTGAATGTTTGTGATGTTTTTATTTGAGCATCAGAAAAATACTCTCTTGCAATACAAAGTTACACCGATCTCAGCAAGAAGTCACTAACATACCTCTCTCTTATCCCATGTATAACATGGGACAAAAGAGCCATAGATGCCATTAACCCATGGAAATCATAGGTTAACAGGGTGTGATTATTTACCCATGATTTCATGGCTTAATACAGCTGACTCCCTGTTAAGTCATAACCCTTGGTGGACATGTTTTGCTATGGGTTAAGGGAGAGTATGGGTTAATAAGTCAAGTTTTTAGGCATTTTTCCCATTTTGGTGGACAAATTTCCTAGAAAAATATATGGCTTAAGAGGGATTATGGGTTAATAGGTCATGGTTTAAGAGGGAGTTGACTGTAGAGACTTTCACTATTAGCCCATGATCCTCTTAACCCATAGCTAAATTGGTCCACTGAGGGGTATGGGTGAATAGGGAGTTGACTGTATTGATTTTCAAATCCAGGCTTCCTGATTTCTACTTATCTTACTTTTGAGTACAAATCCAGGCAGTCTTAAGTTTCAAAATCTATGTCTGAAAATTATTCTCCAATCCTTCCTACCAGGATTTCTTTCCCTACTTCTTAAAATCCATTGTTATCTTCTCACAATGTCAGTCATCCTCTTTTATTTCCCTTCAATATTCCCAATCCAAATTATTTTGTCATTGAATCTGCTTGTTCTTCCACCAATATGTACTCCTCTGGTGGATTTTGAACCTCAACCTATCCCCCTACGTATGCCTTCTCCTGTTCCAAATACTATGGATCAAATCAATTTATATCACTTTGAAGTAGATTTTGGTGTTTCTGTGTTACTCAATCTATGGCCTCCAATTTGAGGGTTTGGATTGTGATCATACAAATTAAAATATTAGAGCATTCACAGGCTATCATCACTTTGGAGTCTCAGGGTCACCATTATGAGGAGGCCATTCATCCCCTTATAAAAACTTCACTTAACCCACTTGATATTCTCATCTTCCTTTCTCTGGAGAGGTTAACAAAACTTGCCAGTTTTGCTTGGCTTGGAGACTCTTTTCACATATTTGGCACACCAGTTTGCCAACAAACACAATTTTATCAACAATGGGAATTCACATTGGCAATAATGCTAATGTAACAATATTGAAAGGGAATCAGTGCAGCCATTCCTATGAAAACTTCAACAGTCTTGACATTACATTATCCTTCTATTTCTGTTTTTTTACTTCTATTACATTATCCACCATAGGAATGTGTGGATATAAAACGGATAAATAGGGGTTTTGACCCCTTTTCTATGCTTTTTACCTTGGGCAAAACATTTTCTGTGTTATCAATCTATGTAAAAAGGGGTAAATTCCTCCTTGTTACATTACTTTTTCACCCAAAAGATGGGTTTACCAAATAAAAACAAAATATTATCTGGTAGTTCTGGGAAGTTACATTACAAAAAGAGGCTTGGCTAATCGACTCCCCAAAGTTGGAGAGTCGACTCCCAAACCCCCAAAATCCCCGATTTTGGGAGTCGATCCCCCAAACCTGCCAGCAGGTTTGGGAGTCGGATCCCCAACGATTTTCAATAAAAAGAATTGAAACCCCCGAAGGGGGAGGGAGTCGATTCCCCAAAACCCACTGGGTTTTGGGGGTCGTCGAGCCAAAAACAGCCCTCAACGGCCGGGAGGGAATCCTCCCGGCCATTGAGAGCAAACTCTCACGCCGTGCCTGAGGGTGTACACTCTCAACAGACAAGAGTGCATACCTCTCGGCCGTTGAGAGTGTACACCCTCAACGGTCGAGAGAGGCTTTCTCTCGATCGTTGAGGGTGTACACTCTCAACGACCGAAAGGATTTATCTTGGCCGTCCAGAATGTACACTCTCAACGACCGAGAGGCATTCTCTCGGCCGTTGAGAGTGAACACTCTCAGCCGTTCTCTCTCGACCGTTGAAAGTGTACACTCTCAACGGCCGAGAGGTATGCACTCTCGGCCGTTGAGAGTGTACACTCTCAACGGCCAAGAGTGATCTCTTGGTCATTGAGGGTGCACACCTCAATGACCAAGAGGGTTTCACCCTTGGCCGTTGAGTTGTGCACCCTCAACAGACAAGAGAACACTCTTGGTTGTTGAGTATGCACACCTCGACGGCTGAGAGTGTACCTCTTGGATACACTCTCCACCGTTGAGAGGTATACTCTTGACCCTTGAGAGGTATACTCTTGACCGTTGAGAGGTACACTCTCAACGGCTGTGTACCTCTTAGCGGCCAAGGGTGTACACCCTCAACGACCGAGAGGCTTTCTCTCGGCCGTTGAGAGTGTACACTCTTGACGGCCGAGAGGTATGCACTCTTGTGCGTTGAGCTATCAAGCCCGATGTCGAGAGTGTGCTCTCAATGGCCGGGGGGATTCCCTCCCGGCTGTTGAGGGCTGTTTTGACCCCCAAAACCCACTGGGTTTTGGGGAATCGACTCCCTCCCCCTTCGGGGGTTTCAATTTTTTTTATTGAAAATTGTTGGGGATCCGACTCCCAAACCTGCTGGCAGGTTTGGGGGATTGACTCCCAAAATCGGGGGTTTTGGGGGTTTGGGAGTCGACTCTCCAACTTTGGGGAGTCGATTAGCCAAGCCTCTACAAAAATCCATCTGGATATTTTCACATATGTAAATTCCCATTGTTGATTGTATTGTGTGGATAAAATGCTATTTCATAATTCCTTCCAGAAACTTGGGCAATACTTGTCACTCATACAGTTGGTGGTGGGGGTTATGTTATTGACTAAAAAATGCACATGAGCAAGGTTCACCAATGCACACCACTTCTACATTGTCTCCTTTTTCCATTAACAAGTTATTGTATCAGGCAGCATTTTTGGTGTTCCTTGGGGACACGTTTTCCAGTCATACTGAAGAGCAGGATTCTTGCAAAGCTTAGGTGGCACTATGCCAAGGTAAAAAATTCATCACAGATTTTAAAATCCAATTCAACAAATTTTGGTGGACCTGTTGAAGGCATCCAAGTGTGTTGGGTTTGATCTAGATACTTTCTGGCTATAGTGATAACTGCTAAGGAGCTATTCCAAATCAATTGTATGATTCAGAAGAAACATTTCCACAAAAATAAAAATAAAATAACACTCAGAAATCTTATTTCATTTCCATTTGTTTTTCTCATACAAAGAAATCAAGCAATAGAATTTGTGACAAGAATCAACCAAACATATTCCATTTCATTCTGACAACCTGGTTCAAACCAATTGAGCCATTCTGATCTTAATCAGCACTTCAATTCATTCAGCTACTTGCTCATATCAACTTGATTCTAATCAGATCCCAATCTTTTCACCTGAACAGAACAAAAAGTCTTAGCTATTGTTCTTTTTTTGGGCCAGAGGAGGCAAAATTCCAGAACAATCAGTTCAGAAAGATTGTCACAATCAGCGGCCAAGAAAGAGAAAACCTCTTGGCCATTGAGAGTATACACTCTTGATGGCTGAGAGGGTTTCTCTATGTTCTCAAGGGTGTACACCTCAACGGCCAAGAGTGTACTCTGAGCAGCTGCTGCTGTGGGGGTCTTTTGGTTCATTGACCCCATTAAACTGTGAGGCTCTACCTATAACTCTAAACGCTAGTGACCATCAAGCTTAACCAAGAGGTAAGCTCGTCTACGCTAAGAGATAAAGGATGAACAGAAGTCTTCTTTTCAAACAATATGAAAACATTTTAATAGATTTTTTTATTTGTAATAGTCTTTATATTTAATTTGTAGTATAATATAATTTTGAGTAATTTTTGTAAAGACAAACAAAGAACAGAAATATCACGATGAGGAACAAAGAAAGTCCAAAAAAACAAAATAGAACAAAGTATAAGTACAATCAAATAAAGAGAAAAGCACTGCTGATCACGATTGTGTCATAGCTGATCACAATTGTGTCATAGCTGATCACGATTGCGTCATAGCAAAACACAAAATGATGTCAAGTAAAGAACTGCGAATGATCAATCCATACTATTCTACCAAGATCAAATCAAAATAGGCCAGAAACCTAAAGAATATCTAAAGATAACGAATATCATTACACAAACCCTGGTCTGTTTTGGAGGATCAACTACCAAACTGACCAGGGGTTTTCCTTTTTTAATATATTTTTTTAGGGAGTCAACTCCCAAACCAGTCAAAGTTTTTGGGGGTTTGACTCCCAAATTTTGGGTAATCTGGGGCTTGGGAGTTGACTCTCCAATTTCTTGAAGTTGGAGTCAATTAACCAAGCCCCTTTCTTCATCACAATATTTTGTTTTCTTTCCTCATCTTTGTGCATCAGCATTTTAATACATACATTTTGTTATCAAATATGATTATAAGACTGTTTCCTGTTAGTTGTCCTTAGCTAGTCTGTTTGACATACTTATAAAGACATATTGTCTTTGGCGCACCCGACGTAGTATCCTAGTCATTACATTGGACCCAGAGATGAGATAACCAGCCAAAGTGGGCACTCTAAATCGAAGCAAATTCCTGTCACAGCTTTCTGTAACTGGTGACATCCCTGTCTCCCTCTCCTTCTCTCGCAGGCTCAACTATGTAGGCCAAGTTATCAATCAACAACAGCCTTCAAGTTCAACTTTCCAGCTTCTCCGACATCCAGCAGCCCAGCTTCAGGTTTTCACAGAACACGAATATCCCGAGAACCCAAGAACCATGCAAGGCTTCAATCGATACTTCCCGCCCGACTTCGACCCCAAGACTCACGACACACTCAACAACTACCACGGCAAACATGCGCTGGGAGATAGAGCCCGTAAGATCGACAAAGGGATCCTGATCACTCGATTCGAATTACCATTTAATATCTGGTGTGGGAGCTGTGAGGCCCACATCGGTATGGGCGTTCGGTTCGTGCTATCCTTCATCCCACGGAAAGTTGTCTCTTAGCTCACTGAGGAACGATGAGCAACATTTATCATCCACGCATGACAAACCAAACCCTGTGATCAAAAGCTACAATGCTGAGAAGAAGAAGGTCGGGATGTATCACACTACACCCATCTACAGCTTCCGTTGCAAATGTCATCTTTGTGGTAACTGTGAGTGCTCAGTGACCCTCTACAGCCGTTTGGAACGCTCAGTCTACTGATTTTAATATATCCGGTATTGGATTTGTTGGCTAAGGGTTTGAAATCAGAACTGATCCCAAGGTAACCTGGAATTCCTCTGGACTTCCCTCAATGTCCATCAAAATCTGACGTTTTTACAATACAGAATACTCGATATGTTGTCGAAAGTGGCGCGAGACAGAAACATGAGGAGTGGGATCAGGAAGAAAATGGCGGGATTGTACTCAAGCGTAAGATTAAACTGAATGTTCCATGCTTGTTATGGGTTATTGCTGAATTAGCTGTTTGTTCCTTACAGACAAGCAAGATGGCGAAGCATCGGATGCGTTTGCCCAAGTCGAGAAAACAACCGTTGACAAGATTACGGCCCTAGAAAATAAAGATAGGCTCGAGGAATTGATGGAATTTAGCGAAGCTAGAAACTCAGATCCATTTGGTATGTTCTGTTCACATCCGATCTCACATGAAGCTGTATTTTTTTTTTCTTCTTAGATTATTTCTTTTTCACACATTTCTCCGGATCTATAAATGACCAGCGCTTAGCCAGCGACTTCGAAAGACGTTCCGAAAAGAGAAGGCCGAGCTGATCAGCAAATCGAGTGGGGATGATCAACTGCGCTCGAAGTATTCCCTGCCGGCTGGACTGAAGTTTATTGAGGCAGAAGATGGTCCATCGGACCAACAGCATGCCAAGGAAGCCCGTCGGTTGATTGATAGTCATCGGGCTGATGTCGAAGCTAAGCGTTGTCGACTCAGTGCCGAGCTCGGTCTACCGCCAATTCGCTCCCAAAAAGGCCTACCACCTAAAGCTGCCCAACTGGCCAATCTGAAACAAAAGTTGGCTCCCACTCGGCAGAAAAAACTCGATACATTTAGTACCGGTTCTTTGGTATCTCGTCGACCTATGGGTCGTGCAAAACCCCTCACCACATCTCTTCCTTCTACCGGATCATCCAAGGGTCCAACTGTTCCTGATCCCAAAAGCTCTCAAAAGCCCCTTGCTAGCTTGGCAGGTTACTCAAGCGATTGATTTTTCATCGACACAATTTCTTATTTGTTAGTCTTCAATGTCTTAATATTTAAATCTTTTGTTGACCTTGTACAGTTGCAATCCCCCATGCTATCATCAAATCCCAAATGGAATATTATATTTTCTCTTCCTGTGCACAAAGTTAAATAACCTTGTCCCAAACCTGTTGCCAAAGAAAGAGTGTCAATGTGTGTGTATGTATTGAGTACATATTGACACTGAGTCTACACTTGTTTTGCAACCAGGCCTTACCTGGGGTAGATAAATCACTTGAGCATCTGATGTTTTCCAAGCTTGGTGACTGTGGCCTGGGGACTCATTTACCTCAAAGTGCTTGTAATTGTTAATCAAAAGTGATCCAACACCCAAGTTTCATAGGGATGTCCAAATTCTTAGATATTCTAGTGGAAGTTAGAGAATACTGCCACAAGCTGTTGATGAAAACCTGTTAAATCAGAACAATGCCGGTAATTCAAAAAGCATCTGTAATTTTGTCTAACTTGGAGGAAGAAATAAAGTATATTCTAGGTCATCAGAAAGAGATCAAAATCAGGATTTGACAAGAAAAGAAGTGTTATATTAGTTTACTCTCATGCAAGCTAGGGTTGCGGTGGGTACACCTTTCCGAATCTAAATGGCTTGGTTCTTCCACGTCCAATTTATGTGGCCAGGAAAACACACTTTTAAAGTTTGAGGTATTGATCTATTTTGTATTTTTTGAGTTTTCAGATGAGAGAAATTAAGAGCATTGTTGGTCTCTGTTCCTCCCCCCTTTTCTGTTTTTCTCCCCTTTCTGTTTTTCCCTGCTTTTGGGTTTTCCCTAATTCCTGTTTTCTCTTTCCTTTCCTCTTCAGTGAAAATTGATTTTCTTTTTTTTAACATTCTCTTTTTGTGGTAAACTGCTTAGTAGTTCATGAGGTACATTGAATGTTGACATTGTGCACAATGGCAAGACAAGTTGTAATTTTTTTCCACAAAGGTTCTTTCTCTAAATGTTGATTCTTTTATCCCACTTGTAAGTTGTAACTGCGAATAGGTTAATGAGTTTGCCTTGAAGCAGAGTTGCAGTGGTTGAATGAAAAGGACATGTGTGTGTGGGTTGCCTGAAACATCGTGAAAGGTCATGTGAAATCTGTACTCGGGGTACACATACGCATATCCACTGCATCCCATTGGCGGTTGGTTGGCAAGCCAGCTGAGCTTCGGCATCCTTTCATTCATCTTTTCACTTGAGATTTCAATCGACCATGGGTGATGCAGGTAAGCTATGGAATGCTAGCTGATTCAACTCTTACGACTGCTTCTGAGTGAATCCCTTTGTCTTCTTCTGGTATATAGGGTTTTTCAAAGGGACATCGAGCGAACAAGTAAGCTCATTACTTCATATCACACTTGCTCGATTTTTGCTAAATCATGATCTATCACGTTTACCAAACTTTTTTTAGGATACTCGGTTCAAGGACAAGGAGAAATCCCTCTTGAAGTCGATCAACTTTCCTAAAGAACTAGACCAGAAAGTATGTTGTAGGCGCCTTTTTTCATTGGCTTGACCTGTATTCTCTTGCTACTAAAACACGATCCAGCTGACATCGCATCTTCGCTCAACATTCAGGTCGACATGCGAAAGGTGGAACTTTCGGTCATGAGACCATGGATCACTGACAAGATAATGGAGTTGCTTGGTTTCGAAGACGAAGTGGTGGTTGAATATGTTAATGGGTTGCTAGATGATCCCACCAGCCCTGTAATTATTTTGCATCATCTATACATTTTCAAAAGAATCCTCGGCACCTTCAATACATCTTCATCAAGGTTAAAACTGAAACGTGCTTTATTTTTTTCAGATCGTCGATCCTAAAAGAATGCAAATCAATTTGACCGGGTTTCTAGAATCGAAGACTGGTCCTTTTATGTCAGAACTGTGGGCGCTATTAATCTCTGCTCAACAGTCGCCCCTCAAAGTTCCTGCATTGTTTATCGAGCAGAAGAAAGAGGAGATGCGCAAGAAAGAGGAAGCGGACCTCGAGGCTCAAGCTGTCATCAAACGACGACAAGAACAAGAAGAAGAAAAAGAGCGCAGGTTAGCAGAAATCCGACGTCGTGAACGGGCCCAAGGAAATAATCGAGGTAGCAACCAGGGTTTTGATAATTCGCAAAGAAATGGTTCAAGAGCTGATGGTGCAGGTGGCTATGGTTCCAGAGGTAACTTCATGCCACCCCGTGGCAGGGATTCAGGATGGGGCAGTCGAGGCGGGGCGAGATTGCCGGATAATTCAAGTAGAGAGCCTCCGTCGGGCGGCAAACGCGACAGGTCTCGCTCTCGCTCTCGCACCCGGCGGCGTGATTCGCATACTCACAAAGAGAATGCTACGAGCTCCCGACGATCTCGTTCTCCTTCTCGTTCTCGTTACCGCTCACGATCTCGATCTCCCCCCTCCCGACGAACTCAACGAAGGGCTTCCCCGTCACCACGCCCATATCGCCGTCACGAAGAATCGTCCAAGCTCCATCGGCGTGGTTCGCCTCACCGAGGCCATCGGGGAGAACGTGCTCCTTTGCCCAAACCAGATGAGGAGCGTTCCAGCTCTTCTGGATCCCCACCCCGGTCTTCACGTCGACAGCGCATGGCGTCTAGATCACCTCCACGCCCTTCTCGTCGGCAGCGCTCAGTCTCTAGGTCCCCACAACGACCTTCCCGTCGAGAGCGCTCAGTTTCGAAGATCTCGCCACGGGCTTCCCGCCGACGAGGGCGTTCAACGTCCAAGTCCCCACCAAGACCCTCCCGCCGACGAGAAAGATCAAACTCCAGGTCCCCAGCTAGACCCTCTCGTCAGCGTCGCTCGAGTTCTAGATCCAGATCGCCACCTCGTCGCCGAGTGTCAGAGTTGAGTATATCAAATGGGGGAAATGATGTGAAATCATCCGATCGTCGATCTACAGCAAAAATGCGCAATCGCTCTAGCTCCCCTCCACGAAAACGTGCTAGGGATGAGCCCGAGAAGCGCAGAGACACCTCTAATCCATCCCGATCGCCTCATACCCGCTCATCAGCTGGCAGAAGCTCCTCAGGTACATCGAGGGGATTGGAAAAAGTTGATGAAGATGATGGGAAGGACAGGCACCCTCCGGTGATTTCAATCAAAGGCCGTGCGGCAAAATCCACCACCAAGTCTGAAGTAGAACAGCCAAAGTCTGGTACCTCTGGAGAGGAACAGAACACCGAGGCGATCAAGCCAACTTCTGCAGCAAATAACATGCCCGATCAGGTATGATTGGATCTCTTGATACAAAACACTTATCTAGATATTAACATGTTGGATGTCATCTTCATTCCCCTTTTCTCTAAAAAAAATAGACTAGGTCTCAGAAATTAACCGAGGTGGTCAAAGAGCGACTTCTGCGAGAAAAAGTGAAAGCATCTATGAACCAGATCTAGATAGGATCATCAAGCAGTCTGTGTCTCTCCCCACTGACTCTAACAAAAAGAAAAACATGTGACAGAAATGACAAAACCTATAGTGATTTATGGAAAGCCTTTGTTGTACCAAGAGTGTTAATTGCTTTGACTCTATAATTGACAAAGTGTTTTGATGATTCTCTTAGGGTTTTCATACCAGGTTCTCAGTATTGCCCTAGTCCATTTCTTTGGGGTGCAGTTCAATATCCACCTTTTTTTCCTGCTCCAGAAGGTTAGATATAAAACTTAAGCTTATTGTAGCATTTTCAAAAACAAAAAGGCTTCTTTCTTTGTCATTATCACTGTCATTGTCTTATATACTCTCATACTTATCTTTTGGCCATGATGATTGTAGTTGTTGATCATTGGAAAATCTTTGACAGCTTTTGATAGAATCTCATTTTACTTGTGCAATGGTGAAGGAGTGCTAGTACTATGGGCAACAATGGGTCACTACTCTACACTGTCCACATATTTAGGTTGAGTGGATCTCCAACTATTGCTATCCACAGTGGCAAGTTTCCCCTGTGCCCAGTATTGTACCACCAAGAGGTTTTTTTTTTACCCCTAGAATCCAGATAGTGTAACATATTATGCTGCTTAATACCATGGTAGTGCTTGACTTAACACAAGTCCTTCACTTCAGAGGGCCCTGGTACAGGGCAGGCGCAAAGTACCCTTGCACAAAGCGCAACCTCCAAAGGAGGGGCTTGCAGGTTATACCTGTATCTTGGCCTGAGAGCTTGCAAATTTTGGGTGGGAGAAAAATTCCCCTCACCTATCTGTTGCCTTCTCCCCACAAATTCCTGATGCCTGTGGTATCAAATACAAGGCCTTAATTTTCTCTTTTTTTTGGTGCCAATCACTTTTTCATCCTCCTTCACACATGCCTCCCACTTTTGATGTCAGCCTCAATGATGCCAAGAACTGATATTCTTCTAGCTACACTAGGTGCAAGGGTGAAATAAGATATGTACACGTGAAAAGTGGGGGAGGTTTGGTAATAAGAGAAAGAGTAAATAAAAACTATTAAGTTTTAATTTATAGAGGGGCCTGAGTTACAGGGGTTTTTGACTGTGCTCTCTAATTTCAGGTCCTGAGCTACAGGGGTGGTACCAAAGTTCTGGTCCTTTATAATAAAGGAGTAAACCCAGAAAAAAGTCTACTACTGAAGAGATGAAGAGATAATACTTACTGGTACTAATCTCTAAGCCAAGGAGTTCTTCAGGAGGGGGAAACGGTGTGAAACTCCTATTGTGCCAGGCAGTAGGCAGTTGGTTGAAGGGATGGTGCTTTTGTTAGATGTGGTAGAATCGATGATTTTTCATTACTAGGTTCGACCCATCTCAAACAATAATACTACTGACTGTGCCGCAGTCGAGGACTAACTACAATATGTCACACATATGTGACAACACCCCCCCTCTCAACAAGAAACAGGAACTCTAGTAAAGAAAAAAATGAAGAAAGAAAGAAAGAAAATAAGAAAAATTAAATTTAAAAAAATGAAAAAGAATAAGAAATTATGGAAACTCATTGAAACCCTTGAACTATATTGCCCACACGCTTGTGACTTGCTTTTCCTAGTGGTTTGGTGAAAATATCCGCTATCTGAAGCTTTCCCGATATCCATGTAATGGCCGTCTCCCTTTGATATAGAGCCTGATTGGTGACATAGAAGTCTCTGTCAATGTGGTGTGTTTGTTTGTTGGAGGAATCTTCACATGCTATCTTCACTGCAGATTGGTTGTCACACAAAATCTTCACCTTGAAGTTCACTCCTAGTATGTCAAAAAGAAGGTTTCTGATCCAGAGGCTATGTCGAGTGACATGTCCCATCGCCATATATTCTGCTTGGCAAGTTGACGATTCCACTGTGGTGAGGCGTCTTGAGGTCCACATGATTGGGCATTGGTAAAGTCGTATGATGACGCCGTTGTGGAACTCCTATCGTGCCAGGCGGTAGGCAGTTGGTTGAAGGGATGGTGCTTTGAGGGCTGCCTTCAAGTGGGATCTGGATAAGTTGAGCTGTGATCTGAACGAAACGCGTTGGGGTTGGTTGGTTTTCTGGAGGAGACAACAGAAATTGAGTTCTGTGGCGGTTGTTGAGGTTGAGGATATTTGAAGGTGAATATGAGGATCAGATGAATCAATAATAAAAGGATCAATAAGATTTGATGGGTCTATCTTGGATCAGATCAGAATGCCATGCCTCCCCATCATCTCAGTTCAAACTGAACTTTGACTCTGGGGAGTGACATGTCACAGACATGTCATCACATCCCTAACTACAACACCAATCAACCAGAAACAAAAACAACACAACACAACACACACAACACAACAAAAGAACAAAAGAAGAACACAGAATAGAACAAACAAACAAGATCAGAATAAACCAACATAAATGAAACTATGTCTTAGGACCAAGAAATAAGAAACAACACTGTCTTCTGAGTAAATGATTTGAAAAAGATAAGTAAGAATAATAAAATGATAAAAAATAAAAATAAAATAAAATCAAGATGAATAAAAAATAACATGAAGAGTAAATAATAAGAGGAAATGGAATAAAATAATAAAATGAGGAAACCATTGGACTGAGTGGGGATTTGAGGTGATAATATTGAAATCTTGAGTCTTGAGGATATTGAAGAGTTGAAAGTTGAATTCTGAAATTGGACCTTGAGGGGGCCTGTACCGTTTAGAACACCACACCGTAAGTTGATCTGGAGTGTGGTCCTCCCCAGTTAGCGTCAACATAGCAATCAACTGGTGATTGTTCATCATTCCCGGGACTGATCCTCAACGACTTTTCTCTTGTAGTTGCTACATAATTTACTACCTGGTTTAATCCCTTCCAGTGGTGTGCCGTAGGATTGTTAGAGAAACGTGATAGGAAATTAACTGCGTAGGTGATGTCAGGCCTTGTTCCCACAGACAGATAGCTCAAGCTTCCAATAATGGACCTAAAACTTGATGGGCTGATGACCTGAGTTGGTTGATCCTTGTCGTCAGTAAAACCTTCTGGTAACGGCAAAGTCGCAGAAGAAACACCATCCCAACGGTCTTTCAGGAGTTTCTTGATTAGGGCAGGTTGTCAAAGATCAAACCCGTCCTTAGTCCTCTCAATCTTTACTCTTACCATCCCATCAATCCCATCGTTCCATTTGATTTCCAAACAACCTTTTAGATTCTCTTCAAGGCACTTGAGAGCCGCTGTCGACGATCCAGTCACAATTCCATTGTCAACATGCACCCAGATGATAGATCTCAACGACTGATGTTGAAGAGTGTACACGCTGGAGTCGTAATAGCTGGCCTCGTATCCTAGTGATTTCAAAGTCCCACTCAGGTGTTTCCACCAGCATCGTGCTGCTTGTTTTGTGCCATATAAAGCTCTGTTCAAGATGCATGCCTTGCCAGGTCCCACTTTCATGCCTTCTGGCGCTCGAACCCAAACTTTCTCGTCAATGGGTGCATTCAGGTAAGCAGCAACAAAATCAAAGTTAAAGACAGGCCAGTTGTTCTTTGCGGCCACGGCTAGGAGAATCCTCATGGAAGTGAATGTGGCCGTAGGTGCAAACGTATGCGCGTAGTCCACCCCCTCCTTCTGTGCGTAACCTTTGGCAACATATCTGGCCTTGTACCGAGTTGAACCATCACTTAGTTTCTTCTTTGCAAATACCCATCTTGCACGTAGAGCCCTTTGTTTTGCCGGAAGTTTCTTCACCCT